AAGGAGCAAACCGCTCGAAAGGAACTAGAGAATGTGAGAAGAAGGAGCAAACCGCTCGAAAGAGACTAGAGAATTTGATAAAAAAGAAGCAACCCGTCGTTGGGTTAGGAGGGCTTTTATCTCAACATCTCGGGCCCGAGGAATCTCGATCCGGGCTGCAGATCTGGGGCCACTGCGGGGACAGAAGGCGTTTTCTTAGACCCTGTCCACGTTGGTGGAGATACAAACCAGCCCTAGGACAGCGCGGAGGGCTTTCTTCGGACTCTGCCCATGCGTGCTCGAAAGCTGTTCAGCACCGGGCCTGCCCAGGGCAGAGAAAGAGTCTTTTCGCCAGTACCCAAAAAAAACCTACGGGGACCCCAAAAAAGCCCGTTTCAAGGTTTGGGCTTTGAACTTTGAACTCCCCGAAGTGAGGCATTGCATCGTGCAAGCAACAGCAAATTGTCCATAATGGAGTACACAAGCTCTTGTCGCCCTAGTCTGCGATGGTACTTGCACATGCCATGCTACCATCATGCACCCCTACTATACCGACTATACCACGCTGAGCACGCGCGCGACACCGAGTCTTGGAGTCACCTTTCGATCCTTCAACACTGACGAAGCCGAACTTCAGCCTCCTTGATCGCCTTTGGGAAGCCGACGAGTGGATTCAGCCTTGTTGTTGCATGCTTCGGAGTCTTAAAAAGCAGAGGTTAAGGGTTTTGGTTGGAGGGATGAGTTGGCCCTGGATTCTCTCCGTCTTTCCGAGATGTGCAGGTTTTTGTTAACCCCCAAGCTGATTTTATTTCCGGGAATGTCGAAGATGGTAGGAGCATCATCCGCCAGGGGTGTCATATGAGCAGCATACACAAGCAGGTTGGCTAGCAATGTTAAGGCGGCTTCATCTTACTTGTCACTGTTTCTCATGCCTTGTTTAAGAACGGCTGGACTTCAAGGGGTTAACGGATGATTTTTCTGGCCATCTCAACTCACAGATCTATGTAATTAGAAACTGACGATCGGAACCCGAGCCAACTGATGCTGGGGTCAGGAAAGCTCGACGAGCCCTCTTAGACCGACCAAGCTTCTTCCCGAGTTTCAAGGTACCTATTCATCGACAGGCCGAGCCACTGCCATGCACCACAGGCTTGAAAATGCCAATCATGAAACCGTCCATCCCAACGCCCTTACACTAGCTTCGGAACGATGTACAATGGGTTTGGTGGAATTCAAACTAAATCTTTGGGTTTTGGGGGCCAGCTCTTTCAGAACTGAGCATCTGAAAACCCGAACCCTCTGAGCCCATCGCCACACGCGACACTTCCCCCCGTGCTGCTCCTGCACCTGGCGCGGCCAAGGAGACCGGCCCCTGTAGACCCCAACCCCTAAAGCGCCTGTTCTAAGTTTAAGCTATGGAAACCATTAAACCGACGACACCATGATCTCAGCACCTCGAAAAGCTTGTCCGGCTTGTCTGAGGAGTAGCGGTAGTTGTGGATGCTGTAAGAGTCGTGGGGAAGCTTGCTGACCTCAGCAGCTTCTTTTCCGGTTTAGGGTTTAGGGTTTAGGGTTTAGGGTTTAGGGTTTAGGGTTTAGGGTTGGCCGTCCAGGTTGGATTACGAGGGCCAGGCTCCCTGACGGGATTTTAGGGCTTAGCGTTTAGGGGTTTAGGGTTTAGGGCTTTGGGTCTAGGGTTTTGGGGGGTTTAGGATGCAGGAATTAGGCTCTAGGCTGT